TTTCAACACTGTCTCCCAGGAAATCCTCAGAGGTTAACTCAGCGTGGGCTAGATGAATGGATGGGGAGGTGGATTGGATATGGGCTGAAGGGCAGAACTAGCTCAGCAGGTTGTGAGCAGCAGCATTGAACCTAGTTGGAGATCTGCAGTTAGTGGTGCCCCTGCAGGGTTAGTATTGGGTCCTATCTTGTTCCACCATTATCAACCCATTTCCATCAATAACATGTATGAAGGGGAAAGGTGCACCCTCAGCCAGCTTGATGTTGATAAAAGTGGAAGAAACAGTGACACACCAGAAAGCTGTGCTGCTATTCAGAGAGACATAGACAGGCTGGAGTTTTGGGCAGAGAGGAACTTCAGGAAGTTCCACAACAGGAAGTGTGGGGTCCTGCATCCAGGAAGGAATCAGCTCAGGCACCAGAAACAGACTAGAGCGACTCTGCAGAGGATATCCTGGGAGTCATGGTTGACAAGCTGACCATAAGGCCAGCAATAGGCTCTTGTGACCAAGAAGGCTAATAGCATCCTGGAGTTCATTAAGTTGACTGTTCCCAATAGGTCAAAGGAGGTGATTTCCCCACCCTCTCTGCTCTGCCCTGGTGAGTACCTTGAGTATTGTGTCCCACTCAAAAAAGCTGAGAGAGAAGGACCCGATCGATCTGGAGAAGACCGAGAGGGGATCTTGTCAGTGTACTTAAATACCTTAAGGGAGGGTATTGTCAAGAGGATGGTGCCAGAGTCTTGGACAGTTCTCCTTGAATTTGAGGAAAAGCTTCTTGACTGTGACAGTGACAGAGCACTGAACAAGGCTATCCAGAGAGAAGGTAGAATTTCCTTCCCTGGAGATATTCAAAATCTGCCTGGATACAATCCTGTGCAAGATGCTGTAGGTGACCCTGCTTGAGCAGGGGCTTGATCTCCAGCAGTCCCTTCCAACCTTAACTGTTCTGTCATTCTGTGAACCTTACTGGCTTTATCTTAGGGGGTGTGTGTGTGTATACATATTTGTCCATTAATTTTCCATATGCTGTATAAGACCTGTGAATCTAATGTCAATATTTCTTTACAGTCCGAGATGTCAACTATTATACAGCAAATTACAATATTTTATGATTTTAAGGTCAACCAACATTTTATAGGTCTTTAATAAAACCTGCAGTGTGCCTGTGTGAACATATAAGCATGCATAACGGTCTATCATATCATATCAATGTGTATATAATGCCAACATTATATCTATTTACTGTCAAAGTAAGTTATTTCCTTAGATGAAAGAACTATATGCCTGCATGCCATGAATTATTTTACTAACCTATCTTGAAGCATTTTCCAAGATATTTTCCTGAGCCTTTTCTATTAGAACACTATCAGGCAAGACAAAGCACATTGTTTTCTTCTCTACTTATTGCAAACAGTTTTATTTCTCTGATTTTGTTAAGAAAAACCCAAACAGTTGTAAATACTTTCTTCTCCTTGTATTTCTTATATGACCTTTCGACTACCCACCAACTATAGTTTTAGTTAGGTAAGTTAAGTTTTTAAAATAGTCTCAACGACTGTCATGCTCCTGCTATTTTTTCCATCATACCAGTAGATTTTAATGAAATGCTTTATGATTTTGCTGTATTTAATACCAACTATGCTTTAATTCTACACATTTAAGACTTTAAACAGAATCCAACTTTTAACCCAGCATACAAGAAACAACGTCAGATGCTCTAAAACTAATCAGCCTTCCCAATAGGAGGTAGGCTTTATTTTTTCATCCCAGTTACTTGTGTTTTTTTTTATTATTATTATTATTATTAAATAAAATACAGGCAGGAAGAGGTCAAAAGTAATCAAGTAACCAGCAGGCTGTGCAGATCACTGAAGAAATGTATGCAAGGTGATCTATAACTTAAAAAAAAATGCTGAAAACAACTTTTCACAGATTCTTGGAACTGAGTGTCTTTGTATCTTCATTAATCATGCTCAAGCCAGTACAGCATGATGACATTGCAACAGCAGGAGTGTTTAAACAACAGAACTGAATCCAGGTATGAGAACAAAAGAACCAACGTGGTATGCACAATATGCTCTTTACCTGTCTGAAAAATGGGAAGCTACTTGTTAGCCAGCTGCAGTTTCTGGCTAGCTTTAATCATAAGCAAAAGTACTAGTTCTTGCATCGCAGTTGCAAGAGCCTCAAACAATTTATATCTGGTCAATCTCTACGGAGACACAAGTAAACAAAACATTGGTAGGCAGCACAAGAATGAAAAAGGTAGCAACATAAAAGGCTTTAGATAACTCCCCCTCTCAGTATTTTTCACCTAAGTTTTCATGTTAGGTCAAGTTTCAGCCAGATGTTGTCTTTTTATGTTTGATTTCTGCTGTACCTAGATCAAGAGACAGATCAAATATAAAACGCTGACAGCAAGCTGTGAAGCCAGATACAGTCAGTATATTAATGGTAATAAAACTAAATCACTGAATGATTTCTCTTTTAAGAGCAGGACTTTGAACCACACAGGCTCTTAGACTCCTCAGAAACAGGCATACACAGGCATACAAAGCTATGCAACTCGCTTTGCAGTCCATCAACTTACTTTTGATCAAAGAGGATATAATTTTAGTAAATAAACAGACACACACACTCTACAAAAAATAGCTATAAGGTGAAGCTACAGACTCAAAATAAGGTATGTCATATGATGACACTAGTCAAAATAAATTAACAGGTGTTTCAGTTGATTCACTGCTGTTACCAACATTCTAATTAAACTTAAAAGCTTTCCTGAAAAAGAGATACAGCAGTTCAAAAGCACTGCAGATAAGTACGATAGTCTACATGGCAAACACCAGAACAAACTGTTTTTTCACTCTGTGTCACAGACAGCAGAGCCTTGCTTCTGCAAGGAAGAATCTAAAATTTTCATATAATGCAGGCTTGCAATCTCCAAATTTTCATGCTAGTCTCTTCTGCTTAAGAACAACATCTATTATTGATACATATTATACATCTATTATTTTTATATTAAAATAAATATTTATTAATTTATTTATTAAATGTGGTAAAGGCAACTCCACTCAGCATCTCAACTGGCTTTGTCCCCAGCTTTAGCTAAGGGAACCCTGGATGGCTAGGAGTCATACAGAGTTCAGCATCTTCTATGCAAACTGCATAGAAGTGAACATGCGATACAACCATAGGAAATCTGATATATTTTACTTCAAATGTAGAGTTCTAGAAGTTTCACTTAATTGGCAAGACCTACTTACTGGCAAGTCAGCATGCACTGGCGGAAAAAAAGTAAACGTGAAGGCTGCCTTCACATCTGACAAAAAGCCACAGGCATCACCAAAAGAAACTGAAACTTACTGGCATCTTCACTTTACGGAGTTTTGTAAAATGCAGATTTGACATGAAGACAAGGAAACTATACAGACTGATAACTAGTTTTCTTGTCCATAAGCTTCTCTTTAGCAGTTCCTCCTATTCAAGAAGCGTAGGTTGATACGGCTTTTGAAATCACAGCTTCAGAGCCCTTCCTCACCCACTTCTACAATTAATAGATGGTAAAAATTAATACATATATGAGGAAGGAGAAAAAAGATGGTTAGATACTCCACTTTTGTGTTTTTGCATTTATTTGCCAGTTCTGGTTGAGAGAGGTTGCTCAGCTTCTATATCTGTTCTAAAAAGCTCGGTGGCCTGGCTCGCAGCTCTCCTTACTTACTAGCAAGGACTGAACCACAGCACAAGTTCAACATCTACATTAACAGAATAGCATTGGCCTTCAGCTATGTCACCACTCTGAAAGCTTTCATGTGTGTCAGCAGTTAGCATATTATCTGAGCTGGGGGAGCATCTTAAATAACCAGCTAAACTGATACCTACAGCTGTCACCTTCAAGTAACTCCATACCAACAGCTACAGAGTCTTGCTAGTTCTGAGCTGATAAACAGAAAATCTCTTCATTTCCAAATTAGGCAACCTAGCATCACAAGAGCATAAAGGTAATCCACAGAGAGAAAGACTTAAACTACTGGCTTCAGTCAACCTGCTTTGAAGCCCACTCGAGAACAGCAGTGACATCTAAGACTTTTCAGTGAGAAGTCCAGAAAGAGGACCCAAAACTTATCTTGGTTCTGCATCATCTTCACAATCTTTAGAGAAGGGAAAAGAAGGACTCTTTCAGGCTACTGAAGAATTATGTATATATTCTATTTTTAACCAGGTCAAGAAGGAAAAGAAAAAGTGACTAATGCTGACAACAAAATAGCACAGAAAGACACTGCCAAGAAATCTGTCTGGTAACTATGGCAGTGCAGAAAAACAGAGGTGATAGCTTTTCCGCTTCTACTTTGATATGTGAAGTGTAACAGTAGCTGTCACTCAAAGAAACACATCTCATGCAGTAAGCGCACATGCGTGTACACAGGAATCTGGGAGGAATTTAACCACAAGAGAATCAGTTGTTGTGACACGACCATGGCTGAAGTCTGCACTGTTAATGAGGCACACTTTGGAACTTGCAGATATAAAATATTCTCATCTACGCCCCGATGAGACTAACAGAAAACAAGACATATGCTTTGCTCACTGATAGTGGAACAAATGTTTAGTAGAAGAGGACTATCTATTTTTAAAGTTTTCAAGGTAAGAGGAAAGGAACTCAACTCCCTCCCCTCTTCAGAAATGTGAGCCAGTCACATCTTGCTATCAAATTTTCTCACTCCCCCATACCAACTCTATTTTCTACCATGTTTAGCTTTATGTCAATAGAAAAGTCTGCATCATACTGAAAACACTGTGGAAAACATCTAAGTTCTTTTGGATCTCAAAGCAGAGAAGAGCCGGTGACAAAGAGCTTCTTGGAACCATCAGGATCCTACGTTACACCTTGCAACGTAACTGAAGCAAGAGGAAAGAGACAACCTGCCTGCCAAATAAGTGACATTAATGCATCACAACACAGTACTGCACATTTCTACTATGCCCACCATATACTCACAGTTTGTGGGTTGATATCATCTTCTCCCATTGGTTCATCCACAATTTGCTGTCCATTCTGTAGAAAACATCAGACACACAGCAAGTTACTAGAAACACTGAAACCAACGACAGAAACGTGTTGCAGATATGCTTTTACAGCATGCTTTTCTACAGCATCAGGAGCTCTTTTTCTCCAAACTCCAAAAATTAAAGAACAAAAAAGCAAACACAGAAAACAGGTACACTGCTGACACTACAGTGACACTTAGGCCGATTCTCATGCGTTATCAAACTGGACCAAATCACAGCAAGAGATATCCAACACACTGAGGCTTTGGAGGCCCCACTACTACACAGCCAGACATTGTTTCCCACTATATAATTACTACAAAAAAGGCAAACCTGACAAAATTTGACAGTAAAATGCCACAAAGAACACAAAAAATGGATTCTTTTCAAGACCAACATCTTACATGGCACTACTCAGCCTCTTCTCTGCAATGACTACTTCAGGAGCATACATAGCCATGGCACATCCTCATAAAGCCTTAAGTACAGCACTTAAGGCTGCTGGCTATTCTTTGAAAAATAATTACCTCCTGTATTTTCTTAATAATGACTCTAGAAGGCCATAAGGAAACAGGCTTTCAAATATGAAGCTTCAGCACAGTGGTTAAAAACAAACAAAACAAACAAAACCAAACACACACAAACATCAATTCCTTATTGGTCAATAAATGCTCTCTTTGTTGTTTCTCAGTTGTACTTGGAGAATCTCTAGAAGGCATTTTTCCCAGAAAAACTCAAAATGACGTCACTTATGTAACTTACTAGAACTCATTTGTTGGGGGTGGGAGGGAGAGGGGAGCAGTCGTGGTACAGCTTAATTTGTGAAGTGCAGTAAGGGATTACCATACATCAAACATGCAATTTAATTAGAATTCAATTCAACTGCCATCAGAAACAGAAGAAAAAAATATCAAAAGCAATTACCATGTGTTCCTCTACTACCGAGGGCAGAGTGTTAGGTCATTTATGTATCATTTCCATAGAGAACACAAGGGCTAATGAATCTATTTTTGTAGAATTTAATCACTTAAAATATAAAAGCTTAATGAATATAAGAGCAGATAGCTTTTGGATGATGAAAAGGGAAAAAAAAAAGCTGCTAAGTAGGGTTCAAAAATTGATAAATGGGGCAGATTTCTGCATTATTCCACAATTGCCTTCCCAAGGTTCAGATTGTCAGCAGACTTCTTGTAGGGAACACTCAGCATATTTTTTTCTGTAAGGATTAATACAGTCTACTAGTTTGTAAGGCGCTGGATACACTTTCATACGAAACAGAAGATCTCATAGTAGATCTAATGGTACTTATAAATTCCGATCTTCAAATATGCCAAACATACTGAATGCTCAATCTCACATGATTATCACTTATCTACTCCAAGCTTTTTACTCTGTAGCTTTGGCTAAAAGACATAGCTAGACAAAGCTAGGTCACAAAAACCACAGATCATCCAAATATGACATCAACTTAAAAAGAAATGAAATTGCTGATTCTGTCTCCAGTGCAGTATTCACATCTCTCACCCTAATCACCTAGAAAAAGGTACTGGAGACTAGAAATCATTTTTCTGTGAGAAGAGACTAGTAAGAAACCAGCACTACCTATTATAGGTTACTACACTGGCCAATATTTTTTATACACTCTCAGAGTTAAGCGTGCTCATCATTAACCTTCCCCCAACTGTGAAAACAAGGTTTATTTAATAAGACAAAGTTAAAAAAAAAACTTCCTGTTTAATTTACTAAGACCTAAACTTTCGCATCTATAATTAAGCACAGTGACTATTCTATTCTTAAAAAGAAATAAAGTTAAACTAACAGTCAGAAGATCATAAAGCTAACAGAAATAAATGTTTCTAATGAGCTCATTTACAGAATACCAAAAAGCAACACACTTTGCCTTTTCCTAAGTCTACGGCATATGTTTAAATTAACATTGATACTTTAGCTACACATCTCCATAGCCTATCCATGCCACAAGACAGCTTACAAAGTAACTTGTCAATAGGAAAACAAGGAGAAGGAAACATCAGAACAAACAAGACAAACAACTCTAACCTTAAAGGAGGATACAGTGTCCATCAACTAGCGATGGTCTCAGATAGAGGCCTGGAACACGGCACCCTGTGTCTCTGAACCACACATACGTTAACTGTGAGAAACACTGCTTCTTGCTATGACTACCATCCCGCTGGATAATAAAGTACATTAACTGCAAATGAAGCAAGAATTCACTAAACAAAGCTTGAAGTTCTTCCATTTGCTATTAAGGCAGCTGAAACATAGCTGAAAGCAGAAGACACTGTCAGAAGCTTAAGGAAAAACTCTCTCTTCAAAGACAAGATAGAGAGGAACACCTTAAAAACAAGCCCTAATCCTCAACCTCACCAACACTCTGTATTTTATTAGTCCACCAGAAAAAAAGCCTAACAAACTTTTGCATCACAAATGAAGTGTTCTGTGAAGCATGGTTCTCCTGTTTAATCTTGTGCCACTCGATAGTGCTTTTTCCCCTGCTGAATTATAAATTCCAAACACATGCACTAGGACTATGAACGAACTCATAGCCATAGGAACAAGCACATAGGTCTCGTGGCCACATCTGAGCCTCATCACTGGATTAGCAAGATCTATGTAAATAGTCTGCTCAAGCAATGATTATGCTAAAGAAGTCCCTGGATGGAAGAACCAGTTTTGCTTAGAACTGGCCACGCCACGTAAGGTAAAGAATATGTATGTATAATTTATGGTTTGTTGGTTTAAATGAAAAGCAGCTGCGCACTCAGATACTCTGCAAAGTTCATCACATGGTTGGTGAGTTAAGTTCTAAGGCCCAAAGGCTCACACTGGAAGAGGCCACTTTAAATCACAGTGGAGAAAGGAGGTCAGTGACAACCTTAAGAGGAAAGCTCATGGAGAAATGAGTTTGCTCTCGGCAGCTGTAGCCTTGCTCTAGCCACTAACTTGAACAGACTTGCCTCAATGAGACAGCAGATTGGGATTAGATGCAATGCATGCAGAAAAGGATAAAGCTCTATGTACTTCACATGTGCAGATTGGCCTAATTCAAAAGACAGACTCTGGCACTCTAACAATCCTTGCCTGTGCTCCCTTTCAGTGGTGAGATGTTAAGTAAAGACTGAAACAAAGGTTATTTCCAGTATTCTGTGTCCAAAAGCAGTGGGCATCAAAAACTGAGATAACAGCAGAACAGCTGTAGAAGAAATAATATAAAAATTGGTTCACAGCAAAAAGAAAGCGTCTGCTCACCCCCTAAACATGTCAGCAATCTGTTTGTGCCATGAAATAAATGTGAGCAGCCCTTATAAAAAGGAAGCTACGAAACCTTCCCCCAGCCCACCTGAATACCGCTTCCTACTCCCATTTCCAATGAATGCAGCCATGCTGTATTGTCCAGAAGTCGCACCCTGCCACCACATTTCACTAAACTGGTAGAAAGAAATACCCAAACACAGCTAAGTTCCTGATGTTTTCCTGAAGCCATGCGAAAAGAAAGATGAGAGGGATCCTACAAGCTCCCTGTTTGAGCATAAAACAAACATCAGAAAACCCACACCAGGCAGCTGGTTTACGCATGCCTCCCCTTATGAGCTTACATAACCTCTGACACAACAGTCACTGCACTACAAAACAGGAAATCAGGCTTCAGTATTTCTAGCTCTCAGAAACTACAGGTTCAATCCCACCAAACTTGTAGAATTAGTTCAGTTATATAATCTCCCTAGTGAAACTAAAATGCAGTTTAAGGTTGTTGTGTATGTCTTTTTTAATTCAGATCATTTTATTTTTTAATGCAATCCTGTAAATAACTGTATTGAGAGGAACCAAAGCTAGCAAGTAGTGGGATAGGTCTGGGCATTGATTTCACAAAGTTCTTTCTAACAAAGCAAATCTGATATATATCAAATTAAACCCTCTGTACCATATAATACATCAAGAAATATAGCCCACATTCCACCCACAAATCAATTAATCACTTTTTGGAACAAGAGAAACATCCTGCATTCTATGCACTTGAATATATATTTACCTACAGTCTCTCTGTCTTTAAAGTCACTTTTTTTTTTTTAATAAATAAAGCTCCAACAGATTCATCACAGCCTGGTAAGATCGCACTATTCTGGGCACTTGCAGAATAAACTCAGCATTTTCCTCACCTGTTCATCTGACTGGCACTCGGCCTACATACATATAGCCCCTGTATCCAAAATATATAACTTCAAGTTGCCATGACAGATGCTATCTCCTCATTGCAGAATACCTTACTGTAATAAAATTAGGTACTCGTTATCCCTATGACATTCTCCTACAGGTACTTCTACAGCATTAATTGAAATATTAAATGTATAACAGTGGGTTTTCTGTAATATTTTTCCTACCCCCTTTAATTTTACAGGTACTGTTACAGACAGTATACAATTGAAGCTTTTAGACTTAGATTACTATCTACATTCTCTTCACTAATCAAAGTCTTTTTAATTTTGTCTTACCTTGCTGAACTTTACTTCAGTTTTTATAGCTAGAGTTTCTTTTGCTGAAGGACATCAGTTTGGCCCCTAAACTTCATGAGACACCAACGCATATCTTTTCCCTTCTTCCCCCAAACCATCTCCGCTTTGTGTTTAGACTATTGCTAGACTATTTTGGGATGTTTAACTAGCCCTTATGCCAAATATTTTGACTTCCTCACCCGACGTTGTTTGTCAGTTATTTCAAGTCCCCTCATGAAAATGACACTTCCACTAAAAAATCTTAGCTTTTTCTAGTGATTAAAAATGGTCTTGAGCCTGTAAGTTAGTAACAAGTTTGCTTTCTGTTAGCACTATATTGAGTTTCCCATGTAACTGGTATTGTTTAAAAGAATTGAAAATTAAGATATAATAAAATGTTATGTTCTTAAACCTCGTAACAGGACAAAGCAAGAATTACGAACTGTACATCAATGCAGAATGATGTGTTTGAGCACGCAAGTAAGCAGACAAGATA